TCGTCGTAGTAGTAGTTAGTAGTAGTAGTGTATAGTAGTATAGTAGTAGTAGTAGTACGGGTTAATAGTAGTAAGTAGTAGTAGTAGTAGTAGTAGTAGTAGTAGTAGTAGTAGTAGTAGTAGTAGTAGTAGTAGTAGTAGCAGTAGTAGTAGGAGGAGGAGGAGGAGGAGGAGGAGGGGGAGGAGAAGGAGGCCTTCTCAGAGGGCGGCGGGGCTTCTCGGAAACTCGCGCGCCTTCTGAGACGCTGTCTATGTCTTCGGGGAAGGCTTAGGAAACCTCTGAAGGTCGGCGGGAGACTTCTGAGCCTTCTGAGAAGGCCCAGCATTCACCATTCCTCCCAGGCTCGCTGTCGAGTGTCCACACATGCACGCTCGTATCCACACGCCAGGAGGAGGGGACTGATTACTGACTGACTGACTGACTGACTGACTAACTGACTGACTGACTGACTGACTGACCGGCTGGCTGGCTGGCTGGCTGACTGACTGAGCCTGCATCGATGCCGAATTCTGAGGTGACCTACTCCCAATCATTACACAGTGAGGGCCCTGTGCGCTGTTGGGAGCGCTGGGCCTGCAACAGTCACTCTCGCGGTGCCGCCTCGGCGCTGGCAGGGCTGCCGTGGCACAGGGGTGCAAGGAGGGGCAGGAGGGGGAAAAGGAGGAGGAAAACCAGTGGAAACCCAAGAGTCATCAACGATGTTGGAATTAACCCTCCCTCCAAGCTCCCTCGTCATAGGCCCCTACAACGGTTCATTTTCATTGAGGGAACTGCCTCGTTGGAAGACAACAGTTTAAAGATCCTGAAGCGTGCCAAAACATTGTTCTCGGGATTTCACGCCACGTATCAAGCTGACTGCTGCGTCTTGACGATCCAGCATCGTGCCAGAACGCCATTGTTGGGACTTCAACACAGCGAATCACGAGGAGGAGGAGGAGGAGGAGGAGGAGGAGGAGGAGGAGGAGGAGGTTGAAGGGGAGGCGGGCAGGGTAGGGGACGGGGAGGCAAGGGGGAGGAGGAGGTCAAGGAGGAGGGGGCGAAGGAGTAGAAGGAGAAGGACCCAGCTTGCGCAGCCCCCAGGCCTCGCTGCCCCTCTGCTAGCAATTTGGGGTCCTTGCTGGCCTGCCTCGGGCTGTGGGTCCACCAAGTGGCCTCCGCAAGGAGAGAGGCACGCGTCTGGCCGAGCGGGTCGACGATCCCCTGGTGGGATCGCGAGGGGGATAAGTGCTCCACGTCGTCGGCGCTCGGAAGCACGAAAGCGGGGAGCGCAGGGGTTTCTGGCCCCTCTGGTGACCTGGGTCTGTTCGGCCCATCGGCGATGCGGCACGACCCTCCGACATCATCTGCTCTGCCCCCACTTGGGCGGCATAGCTTCCGTCAAGGAAAACAGTCTGCCCGGCGAGGGTTCCAACCCGATGCGGCTGCGTGTAGCGCGCGTCGCGGCCTTCTCCTCATTATGGGAACAAAAAATGGCATAAACATAAAAACTCGGAGGTCCGCGCGGATTTCTCGGATTGGCGCTGGACCCCCCTCCCTGGCGCGCGGAGCGCGCCAGGGGCGGCGCCGGAGGCGCCGCCAGGGGGGCCCAGCGCCGATCCGAGAAATCCTCGAGGACCTGCGGATTTTTTATGTTTATGTCATTCTTCGTTCCCCTACTCATATACTACGTGCCGGCAGATGCACGGAGATCGGGACCCTGGCCAAGCGTGGGCCCACCGGTGCCAAATATGGGCACGAGGCGGCCTGCGCGCGCGCCCGCGGGTGCCGTATAGGCGGAGTTCTCTGTGCTGAACCACGAGGCGTGTGAAGGGGCGTGTCGGCAGTGGCGTGAGGTGGCATACGTGCGCGCCCGCTGAGGTCGCAGCTGGAGCCCCCACTGGGGGCACGGCACTTGTGAGCGGTGTGCCGAAGTGGCCGCGGGGCAGCATGCACCCACACCCAATTGAGGCCGCCGACGTGGACGCGGGGCGGCATGCGCGCCCTCCCACTGTGGCTGTAGAGCGAGCTCTTTTTTTGTTGCGCGAGATGTGCGAGGGGCATGCCACGGACGCGGGACGCACCATCTGGGCGCATGGCTTCGCAACCCCACACCCACTGGGGACGTAGGTGAAGCACCCTATGGTGCACGAGAAGTGTGAGGGGTGTGCCGCCATGGGCGCTGGGCGGCACACGTACACGCCCGCCCGCTTGTTGCTGTGAGGGAAGCTTCCTATCGGCTGCGCACGTGCCCACTTACTGGGGCCGTAGGTGAAGATACCTGCTGGGGCGCGAGGCGAGTTGGTGGTGCGCCGAGATGGGCGCGGGGCGGCATAAACCGCAGCTGCGCAGCCGCAGCAGCGCAGCCGCGCAGCCGCAGCCACGCAGCCGCAGCCGCGCAGCCGCAGCCGCGTAGCCGCAATCGTGCAGCCGCAGCCATGCAGCAGCGCAGCCGGGCAACCGTACCGCAGCCGCGCAGCCGCAGCCGCGCAGCCGCACACCCGACGAGGCCGTAGGTGGGGGCCCCTATGGGGCGCGAAGCGTGTGAGAGTGAGTTGAACTGGCCGCGGTGCGGCATGCGCGCCCCCCCACTGGGGGTGTAGGTGGAGCTCTCTATTGGCCGTTCGCGTCGTCGTCGTCGTGGGCGCCGTCTGCGCCGTCGTCGTCGTCGTCGTCGTCGTCGTCGTCGTCGTCGTCGTCGTCGTCGTCGTCGTCGTCGTCGTCGTCATCGTCTGTCGGTCGTCATCCTCGCCATCGTCGCCGTCGCCGTCGCCGTCGCCGTCGCCGTCGCCGTCGCCGTCGCCGTCGCCGTCGCCGTCGCCGTCGCCGTCGTCGTCGTCGTCGTCGTCGTCGTCGTCGTCGTCGTCGTCGTCGTCGTCGTCGTCTTCGTCGTCACCCGACCCCCTGACCTCTAAGGGCGTGTGTACTGGCCAGGACCTCGAGAGGAGTCCCATAGGCCTAGAAACGCCCCCAATGCCCGAAACACGTCGAATCTCGAGCCTCGGCCGCCGCCGCCGTCGTCGCTGACGCAGCACGTCGGTCCGCGCGCACAAGAGGGTATGGAGGAAAAAGAAACGCTCCTCAGAAGGAGGCTGTTTCTCGGAGGGTGCCTGCCCTGCATCTCTGTAGACACGGCCCCACGCCTTCTGAGAAACTGGTCGCTTCTATAAGAAGCCTCCCCCCTCCCCCTATGCCCCCTTCTGCGCGTGGCCAAGGAATGGGGGGGGGCGCTGGCGCCAGTCGGGCTGGAAATATGGCTTGGACCCGCCCACTGGGCGCTCCTCCGCGCAGAGCCCGGTGCCGGTGCCGGGCTGGCAGCCATCCTCGAGGCGGGGGGGGGATGCCCCGCGGCCCCTCGGGGGCGGGGCCTCCCGCAGCGGGGCGGCCTGTCAATCAACCGCCCTCGGCGGCCGTTCGGCGGCCCAGGGCAGCGGCGGTCGGGGGCGGTGGCGGCGCCGTGGGTCGCCGATGCCGTCGTCGCTGTCGTCCCTGTCGTCGTCGGCGCTCTCCTCGTCGTCATCGGGGGTCGCCATGGTCGTCATGGTCGTGGTCGTCGTGGCTGGTCGCTGTCGTCGTCGTCGCAATCCGTAACTGGTCGCCGTCGCCAACGCCGCAGCCGTCGTCGTCGTCGTCGTCGTCGTCGTCTTCGTCGTCGTCGTCGTCGTCGTCGCCGTCGTCGCCGCCGCCGCCGCCGCCGTCGTCGTCTTCGATGAAGGGATTGAAACGACGTTTTCCCTCTCGGGCCTCCTGGAGGGCTCTTGTCACCACGGCTGGGTTGCCTTCGGAATCCCTGTCGCAACGCGTTCGGGGAGGAGATGACCGAGCGATGCCGTCGTCATCTTCGTCGGGGACGCCGTGGTCGTGGTCGTGGCTGTGGTCGCCGTCGTCGTCGTCGTCGTCGTCGTCGTCGTCGTCGTCGTCGTCGTCGTCGTGGTCGTCGTGGGCGCACCCTTCGTCGGTCGTCGTCGTCGTCGTCGTGGTCGCAGTCGTTGTCGTCCCCAGGCCTCCAGCGTACTGATGCAATTACAACGGCGTGGGCGACGAACGGAGTCGGATCCTCTAGGCCATCTAACTTCGCGCATCGCGGCCCACGATGCGCGATGACCTTCGCGACCTCGCACCCTCGTGCCGTCCCCTTGCAAAAGGGCAGCCCGTCTGGCCCAGGCCGCGGCGCGCGCATCGCGATTATCATCGCGCCCCTGGGGGTGACCTAGGGCCTCGCGCAAGAATGCACCGCGAAATTACGCCGCGGCTTACGTGGGATGCCAGCGTGGCACACCGCATGGATACTGGGGCGCTGCGTTGCGCGCGGCTTTACGTGGGAAGTTTACGCGCGAATGTCGTCGCAATCGACCCCGTTCTCGTCCGTCGTTCACGTGGATTTAGATAGGGTCTCCAATGGCCCGTGTCAGGCCCCAGGAGCTGCAAACGAGAAGGAGCTGCCGCGAGAAACTGGCTCCAAGGATGGGGTCGAAAGCGTCGAGGCCCTCGTCTTGAGCAAAATCGCAATGCCGCAGGTCTGGGTTCGCCGTCGTCGCCGTGCGACAGCGACTTCGTGGGCTTAGTCGTCGGTGTTCCCTTCCCCTTTCATTCCTTGCTCCTCCTGAATATCCTCCTCCTCCTCCTCCTCCTCCTCCTCCTCCCGCGCGTCCCTCTCCCACTCCACCTCCCCTCCCCCATCTTACATTTGGACATGTTTCTCCTCTCTCTCTCTCTAACTCGTCCGCAATCTCCCGCTTCTCGTCTTCCTGCTGCGCATCATCTTCCCCGCCCGTCCTCCTCGTCCTCAGCATGATCCCGCTGCTCCTCCTCCTCCTCCTGTTCCTGCTCCTGCTCCTTCTCCTGCCCCTGATCATGCTCCTGCTCCTCTTCCTCCTCCTGCTCCTGGTCCTCCTAAACCTCCTATTCCTCCTCCTCCTCCTCCTCCTTCTCCTCCTCGTTTTCTTCCTCCTCCTCCTCCTCCTCCTCCTCGACCTCCTCCTCTTCCTCCTGTCATCCTGCTCCTCCTCTCTTATTTTGCTCCCCGTCCTCCCTCTTCCTCCTCCTCCTCCTGCTCCGCCTCCTCCTCTCCTCCGCCTCCAAAACCTGTCATTGCCATCATCCGGATCCCCCACACATGTCGCCTGATCGAAAAGGGACGAATCTGGATGAGGACAAAGAGGAGGCGGAGACGGAGGAGGAGGAGCAAACAAGGAAACAAACCTGGGGGCATCCACCAATGTCCTGCCTTGACTCAGCCACTAAACTATCGCCCCGTGCTCTCGTCGAGCGCAGCAGGATCCTGAGACGGGGTACAACGACATGTTGTAGCTCTGTAAGCCTTGCCTGCGCTCCCCTTCGGGGCACAGGCTCGCGAACACCCCCCCTAGTGCACGCAGCCCTGCGGGAGGAGCCCACTCAAGCGTGAGAACCTCGCCCGCCATCACGCCGTCCGCGCCCACCACGTCTGCCTGGCGCGCCACGGCCGTAACCAGGTACACAAAATCAACGGAGGAGCAGGCAGAGCCTCGTCAGCGTAGCTGCTTACCAGCACGGCTCCCGAGCGAGCCCTTGCCGCGGTCCATGCATTGATACTGCCGCGCGCCTCTAACTCCGCCAGTCGTTGAGAGCTGCTGAACAGCTGTCCCTGCCGCTTGTCCGTGCCCCTCCAACACAACTCGCCAGGTCGGGATGGACTACTTCGCATGATTCACCGTCTTCGCGACGAACGGGCCCCTGGGAGCCGATCCGTGGACTGCCGTCGCCCCCCTCGTGCCCGAGCACCTTCATGATGCACGGTCTGCAGAGGGAAGCCAGCTTCGCGTCCTTGCTAAAAATGATGATGATCCGACAGTGTTGCTCCTGGTTCTCCTCCTTGCGCAGCGTCTTCAACCTGAAGTAAAGCACTGCTTCCGCGATGCTCTCCATGCTGCTCGAGGCTACGTGGGTCTCCCAGTCCTGCTTGGCCTCGAGCGCGTTGGTCTTCTCGTCGCCCTGGCCCTCCGCCGCCGCGCGCTCCGCTGCGCGCTGGAGCGCCGCCAAGACCAGTGGATGTGCGGGGCCCAGCGTTTCTTGAAGAGCTCCTGCGTCGCGTTGGTCGTCTTCATCGCCTTGCTGCCCTCCTCGCACTTCTTTCCCGCCGCCTGCGCGGCTGCTGGGGGCCCCGCGAGAGGGGCATCACGAAGGTCACGTGAACCGCCGCCGCCAGGTCTGCCACCGCGCAGGCCCGCGCCGACGCCAAGCGCCCAATCGCCGTCAGCACCTTCATCAGGTCGCCCTTCTCGCCTTTCTTGCCCTTCGTGGACGCCGGGCCCTGGGCCGCCCCCGCGATGTCGGCCGCGCCCTGGATCGGGGGGCTGGGCCGCGACGGCGTCTCCAGCGGCGTCGGTCCCAAAGGCCCGCTTGTGGTGGTCGGCCGGCGCCGGCCTCGACGTCGCAGGCAGATGGCCGAGGAAATGGCTGCAGCGGGCGGGGCCCCCCCGCGGCGTGACTGCAAATCGGGCACTCCAGGGGCCTGGGCTCTCGAAGGATCTCGTTGCTCCCCAGCGCGGTGACGCCCCTCGCACCGCCTCTCTTCGAACCGCCGCCTCCAAATGACGCGCGGCAGCGATGCGAGTCTTGAGCGCCTGTCGACAACCCGTGCAAATTTTAGTCGCGGTCAGCACATGCGCAAGGTTGTGGAGGTGGCGTCGCTGGGTCATGCGTTTACGGAGGGAGGTCTGGGTGGAGAAGCGGGACCCGCGCAATTCCCCCGCATCCTTCCGCGCCTTGCATCGGCGTGGCCCATCTGAATGCACGTTGCAACGATGGGTGCCCTCCCGCGCCCCCGGCGGCCCACCTGGATAAATGTTGCAAATGTTGGTGCCCTCCTGTGCTCCTGGCGGCGCGCGCCCGCGATCAGTCGGCGGCGGGGGATCTGCGCCGCGCGCAGGGCCGCTCGTAACCTCCCGAAGTCCAACGCGGTAAATTCAGAGCGCCGCCCCTGATCCGCAAAAACTGTAGAAAGCCCCCCATTGCCTCGCGCAAGCTGCGCGAATCCATGATCGGGGCCGCGGCCCGCAAGTCCGCCTCATCTGACGCAGCCAGGGCGACGCCGCGTTCGACGGCCCCTCCTGCGTAAATTGCGGCTCAAGTGACGCGTCCTCCCCCCGCAACGCCCCAGAGAGAGCGCCCGAGGAGTGCGCGTGCCTCGTCGGCCCCCGCGCCCCGGACTGGTACCACTTAAGCCTCTTAACGCGAAGGTCGACCCGACTGCCTGGTTGTCGCCAGTAGCGTAGAACCTGAGAAGTGGCCACGCCCCCCCCCGTGCCCCGCCGGCGCTTCGACGCGCGCGCGCCCCAAGATCGCTGTCCTGCAAAAGGCCGCCGTGCAAACGCCCGACCCATTATATTCCGGCGACGCCAAACAGAAAAGTTCAAGCCCGCTAAGGAGAGAGTCGTCCGCGAGGCCCTGCAGGAGCCCCCATCCGCCACTCAAATGGCAGACCCGTCGACCGCGCCCCTCCCGGGCGGAAAACAGCCTGCCGAGCCGCGTCGCGCCGCCGTGGGATCTCAAGGCGCCCAGTCGACAGCGCGTCGATGCCGGGGCCAGGTCGCGCGCGCTCCCTCGCCCTTCCCCTGCGTGGCAGACTTCCCTGAACTGTTCTCTCTCGCGCAATCGCCCGCGCAGGCCAAGACCGACTCGCATAATGGAGAGGTGTTTCTGTTTATCCGATTTTCAACAGAGCCGAACCTCCCGAGGTAGTCATCTAGCGTCTCGCCCACACAACGCAGAAAATCCGAGATGGTGCCCCCGAGATCCGCCGCCGCATTATTTTGATCGGCCGCGTGTATGAATGGGCGACGGTCTACTGATAGATATTGCGAGCTCGATGAATAATAATAGTAACAGACAAAACCTGGCTGATCGGTCGCTCGCAAAACGGGGTGCCCCCGCGCCGCAGTGGCCCGCCCGAGTGTTCCCAAGAAGCCCTGCGCCGTGAAAAGGCCCTCCATCGCACCGCCGCATCTCGGACGCACGCATAACGGACCTTCGCGCGTTTCCAGCTCAAGCATCGCATTCCTGTGGCGTTGTCTACACACGTCGGCATCGTGGGGGGAGGCGCGCAGAGACGCCGTCGCATTCAGCTCCGCCCACGAGGAGCTCGACGAAACATTGCTGACATGTTTTTAACGACATGCAACGAGTGCGACCCGTGCGTCGCAATCTCCAACTCGTAATTTCTGCTGCGCAAATTGCCCCCCCCCCCCCCCCCCCCCCCTCCGCGACCAAAGCCGCGATCCTAAGCCGTGGGCAGCGCTCGAAGCGCACTTGCGCGGTGGGCAGCGACCCTGAGCCGTGGGCA